CACACACACACACACACACACACACACACACACACACACACACACACGCCCTGTGCTGTTCTGTGCTGCTTTTTTTCTCAAACATCCCATGCTCCCTTGTCCCCAGGCCTTTTGGTGCTGTTCCCTCTGCCTGGAACTTGTTCCCCTCCCCCTCCCTCTCTTTATCTAGGTAAGTCCTACTCATTCTTCAGATTAAAGCTCATTCATTTCTTCCATGGGAAAACTTCCATGAGTTACTCCTACCCTGCTTCAGGCCATGCACACCCACACGCACGCACACATGCACACACACACACACTCATGCACACACACAGACAGTGCTAGAGCAGCTGGTCCTTCCCACCAGGGCATTTATTTTTCACATCCCTGCATGCATTCAGCAGTGCCGTGCGCCCCCCCCCATGCCCCAGGCCCTCTGCCAGGACTAGGCTGTAATGCTTGTCTCTCCTCCAGACTGACTGTTTCACTCCATAGCCCTACCTCCTAGCACAGCGCCAGCACAGACTAGAAACTATATGCCCAAACAGCGTTGGTGAATGAATGAATTAAGCTAAAATGCCCCTCACTCCCCAAAATTTGACTGCCCTTTCCTGGAATGGAGACAAGCAAGTAAACCCAGTGATGAGGCACAAAAGCAGGGAGAGGGTCAGGGAGCGGCTGCGGGCCCCTGGCCTCTGCCCACCAGGCACTTGGTGTGTGAATGTGGCGCTCTGGATCTCTTAGGTGTGTAAAGTTGTGAACACGACCACTCTCACCTGCCTGGCACCCTCCCTGACCACGGACTACCGGCCCGGCCTGGATACTGTGGAACGGCCAGATGAGTTCGGATTTGTCTTTAACAACGTCCAATCCTTGCTGATTTACAATGACACCAAGTTTATCTACTACCCCAACCCGACCTTTGAACTGCTCAGCCCTACTGGAGTCTTGGATCAAAAGCCAGGATCGCCCATCATTCTGAAGGTAGGAGTGCCCTCCAGAGTGAAGTGTCCCCAGGGGCAGCAATGGCAGAGGGCGTACCATACTCCTGGCCTGACTTGCTTTCTTTCTGGCTCTCCTTCCTATGCACTTGGACTTGCAAAGCTGTCTCCTCCCTACAGAAGGAGCTCATGGATAGCTATCGACCCATCAATTCATATAGCTTGCACCCAGGCTTCTCAAGGAATACTTGAACATATTTCGGTTTGTTCTTGTGAGCTTTGGGAACCAGAGGCGCTGCAGTGACTTGGGAGTAACTGTTTCCTTTTCTGTCCTCTCTGTGGCCACAGTGACCCACACACACATTTCAAGAACTCACAGTCCCTGGCAGCGTCCATCCAAGTGATTTGTTGCCCCACTACTTTCATGAATCTCGTGTATCCTCGCCCAGATTTTCTCTGGTTCAGCGTTTTGTCTCCCCTGCATTTTTCCCACTGTCTTCTTCATTTTCATTCTCTCCTGCCTCTGTCTTCTCTCTTTCTGTCTAGAGCATGGCCATTAGAAGTCCCATCCACAAAAACTTACCAAGGAGTCATTTCCTGGTTTTTGTGCTGCTGCCCTTCCCCCCCTCCTTAATCTCTTTTTAACTAGGCAATTAACTTGTGCATGCATGTGTCAATTATTCCTATAAAGACTGCTGTTCTCTACAGGGCAAAAACCTCTGCCCTCCTGCCTCTGGAGGGGCCAAACTCAACTACACAGTGCTCATCGGAGAGACCCCTTGTGCTGTCACCGTATCTGAGACCCAGCTGCTCTGCGAGCCTCCCAACCTCACCGGGCAGCACAAAGTCATGGTGAGTGAGTCGCTCCTGTGTACTGCCTCCTCCCCACCTGGTGGTGCATGTGTGATCTGTCCTAAGGAAAGGCTGTCTTCCGCCTCGTTGCCTGACTCACCCCCTCCGTATCTCCTCATCTCTGTGTCCTACATCAAAATGGGTATAAGCTGACAACACAAGGAAAGAAAGGCAGATGCCAAGGCAGGAGGTTGCTTTTGGTCCAGATCTGCACTGTGTGGTTGTGGTCTGTCATGTCCTTCCTCACACTGTAAGGATCTGCTGGCATGCCAGGACAATACACCTGTGTGCATCGTGTGCGTCTGTGTGTGTACAATGCACAGGTTCACGTGGGCGGGATGGTGTTCTCGCCTGGCTCGGTGAGTGTCATCTCAGACAGCTTGCTGACCCTGCCAGCCATTGTCAGCATCGCGGCCGGCGGCAGCCTCCTCCTCATCATCGTCATCATCGTCCTCATTGCCTACAAGCGCAAGTCTCGAGAAAATGACCTCACTCTCAAGCGGCTGCAAATGCAGATGGACAACCTGGAGTCCCGCGTGGCCCTGGAGTGCAAGGAAGGTGAGGGGAAGCACAGCCTCACTTGCTGGGTCACTCTTTCTCCGCCTGCCCTATTGCCTTTCTCCCTGCAGACAACTCCCGTCTTTACTCCATCGCTGCCAGCTATGCCTTTGCACTCCACTCTCACCTCCGTTTTCGCAGAAACTTCTTTTGCCCATAGGGCCAGAGATGTCCAATGAAGAATGCTCCCTGCGTGAGGGCCCAGGTCCTACTGCGTTGTTCTAGTCCCTTCTTTGCCCTGACTCACCCTACCATCTGGCCAGCTCCCTCTCCTCAGGGCCTCAGTGTCCCCACAGTCAGAGCTCTCAGGGCCCCACAGCCCCAGACTCCAGATCCCCGCTGGGAGTTCCAGCTGTGTTTTGCATACTGTCTTGGCAGCACGTGGGAGCAGCGGCAAGAAAGGCAGGAGAGCACCTGCCTCATCTCCCCCGGGGTTTGTTTTCCATCAGCGCTGCTGCCTGAACGTTCGGAAGGCCGCCGCTTGCTGGTGTCCTTGGCTGTGGACATGTGTGGGAGTGCAGATTGTGTTTTCTCCCGTGTCCCACGCAACCACAGCCTCGAGGTGTGACGAGCGTACCTGGCGTCCTCTCAGGCTGCGGACCTGGCAGGCTCTCTGGGTAAACAGCTCAATTGGGAATGAAAACATTTCTCTTTTTGCCACAAATGTCAAGATCAGAAACAAGCCCTCTGCTGGATGACAGGGAAGAGCTGGGCTGGGAAATAGGACAGGTGGAGCCAAGCCTCCCTCTGGCAACGGGGCTGGTGAGTTTGGAAGAGGAAGGAGCAGGGAAGACAGGTGTGCCACCACCAAGTCGAGGCTTCTGAAGCCCTTCCCCTCCCACACTCGGCTCTCAGCTGAGTGTCTGGTGGCCAGGCCTTCCCTAGGCTTTTGCATCTTGATTTATTGTCTTGCTTGGAAAAGGGCAGCACGTTGCCTGTTCTGTTCTTTGCTACATCCCTCAGCCACGGTCTCTCACCTGCCTCCAGCACCTCTGGGATCGTTACTAGACAGACCAATCATGGTATTCTTTTTTCCTTGTTTTAACTACATTTGCAATATGTAAAGAGAAAATTCAAAATTATAGATAAGTGTAGGGGAAAAATAACATAACATTTCCCCACCACCTAAAAAAGACAGGCTGGGAGTAGCCCCGCACTCTGGAGACACACCCCTGTAATCCTCAGAGTCGCTACACCCCGGGTCCTCCCCTCCTCCTTGGCAAACTTCTTCTCCCTCTTTCCCCTTCCCCGACTGGGGCTTCCCCATGAGCCTCCCTCTCTGTTCATTCTCATAGCTTTTGCTGAGCTTCAGACAGATATCAATGAGCTAACCAGCGACCTGGACCGCTCGGGAATCCCCTACCTGGACTATCGTACCTACGCTATGCGAGTCCTGTTCCCAGGCATCGAGGACCACCCCGTCCTGCGGGAGCTGGAGGTAATGCCTACCTCCCAACAACCTGGCAGGGATGCAGGCCCTAGGTAGCCTAGTAAATCCAGATGAGACCCAGCAGCACAGAGTAAAGTTAACAGTGAAGAGGGGTCAGTAGTTTGTAACTAGAGCAATCAGGAAGGTTACGGCTAAGGGGGCACCCAGACTCTTTGGGATGATTCCAGGGTAAGGCTCATTGTTTGTCATTTTTTAATTAATGACTGAACTAATTAACTAAGATCCTGCCTCATTCTAAAATGGACTTAAGATGGCTTAAAGAAAGATATAGGATTCAATGAGGTTTGTTTGTTCATTTGTTGGTTTGTTTTACTAAAGATAATAAACCAGGCAGAGGAGATTAAGGGGAGACTAGTTAACTGAAGAAGTTTTGAGGGGGCACCTCCTATGCTATCCTTGGGAAAATCAGGCAGCCTCCCCTTTGAGAGCTCTGCATGGATCCCAGCCTCCCCAACCCCGTGCAAGGTCAGAGCAGGCTGTCGACCTCCCGATCAGCTGTTCCTACATCATCGCGTGTGGGTGGAATGGGGTGGGTGTGGTTATAAGCCTCAAAGGTAGGGTCTTACAGCTAGGGTCAGTGAGATCCTTGGGTAGGAGACCCTATGCCTGACCTCTGAGGGCACTGCCCCATCACACCCCACCCCAGGTACAGGGAAACGGGCAGCAGCACGTGGAGAAGGCCCTGAAGCTCTTCGCCCAGCTCATCAACAACAAGGTGTTCCTGCTGACCTTCATCCGCACCCTGGAGCTGCAGCGTAGCTTCTCCATGCGGGACCGGGGCAACGTGGCTTCGCTCATCATGACCGGCCTCCAGGGCCGCTTGGAGTACGCCACTGATGTCCTCAAGCAGCTGCTCTCTGACCTCATCGATAAGAACCTGGAGAACAAGAACCACCCCAAGCTGCTTCTCCGGAGGTCTGACCCACAGCAGTGGGTGGAGAGGGTGGCAGGAGTCTAAATGGGGACAGAGCACCTCGTTATAGCAGGCTCAAGCAGTGTGAGAAGCCCATTCCCCAGAAGGGACGCCCATTCAGAGTAGCCTGCGTCCTCACGTCTCCGCAGAGCAGAGTCTGACTTTCCCTCAGCCCAGGGAGACTACAGAGTCTGAAGCGGCCCAAGTGTGATAGATGAGCTCACACCTTAGCTTGGATCTCAGCTGGAGTCCCAGCTCTGCTTCCTGCTGGCTTCGTGATTTCTGGCCAGGGTTGTAACCTCTCTGTTGTTTAGTTTCCTCCTAGATAAAATCAGGAAAATAATTCCTATCTCACAGTCTCTTCCTCCCCGTGCCTCTAGAGCTGTGCTGTCTAGCCACGGGTAGCTGCCAGAAATTAAAATGAAATAGAATGTAAAATCCAGCTCCTCCATCACCCTAACACTAGCTGCATTCTGAGTTCTTGGTGGTCACATTGTGGCTAGCGGCCACCATACTGGACCACATAGACAGGAACATTTCCATTATGGCAGAAGGTTCTATTGCACTGCACTGAGCTAGGGATTTGGACAGCCTGGAAGGCTGTGACTTCTGAGCTCAGCTTCCTGGATCTGAATCACAACATCCACCACACATGCCCACTGCATGTTTCCCAGCAGGGGAGAGGTTGGACACCTCGGCATCCCCTGAGCCCACCCTCTGTAGCGGCAGTGGGGAGCGGGGCACAGCTTTGGAGCTCCTCTGGGCAGACGGGGTGTTCACCACCTCTCCTCTTTAGCCTTCCCCTAGCAAGGTCTGAGGCTTCCAGGCCCCACGTGGGTGAGGAAGGAGGAAGAATGGCTTTGTTTTATGAGTGCTGAGCCCCCATCCTGCCAATCTGAGCATTAGAAACTCTCATTAAGAACTGTTGTATTTAAATTAAAGCTAATCTCAGGCACAATGCAGGGAGAGGTTGCTGGGAGGAGCCAGGGGAGAAAGCTACAATTTTTTCTGCCATTGTCATTCTCTACCAGGCCCAGATTGCTGAGCAGCCCTGGCAAATGCCTGGGATTTACTGCAACCAGAGGGTATAATTTGCACCACGTGCAGGGAGTTAAAATACCCCTCTGGCATCCCCTTCACTGAGGGTCTGTCATAGCCCTTTGTTCCTTCCCAGATCCCCAGATCTGTAACCCTGGGATGGGAAGGTGGGTGGGGGGGTCAGCGCTTGCACAAGCAAATCCCCTGTTGGCAAAACACTTATGCTTTCTACCTGAGGGCTGTGATCCAAGACCCCACATGACAGTCATAATGACAGCTAATACATAGTGCTCAGCAGGTGCCAGGCACTGTTCTTAGCACTTTACAAATATTAACTCATTCAGCCCTGACAACAACCATTGGGGCAGATGTTGTGATGACTGTCTCCATTTAGAGAAGGGAAAACGGGAACCAGACGGGTTAAGTGACTTGCCCAAAGTCACACAGCCTGCGTATAGCAGAATCAGAATTTGAATCCAAGGCAGTCTGACCCTGGGTGTTTTTGGAGGGGAAGAGACCAGGCATCTTCTAGATAGGCAAAACAGAGTACTCAGGCAAGCAAGAAAGCCCAGAAGGACTGGGAAACTCTCTAGTTATTGTCCTGAGGCCAGAAGTGAGTTGGGAGAACTGGGTCTTTATAGCCCTGTGGGATTCTGAGATGCCTTTATCCACAGCCCCTGTCCCAGATGCAGACAAAGCAGTTCAGAGAACCGTGGACCATCAGGGCTGAAAAGGCCAACCTCACCATTTTCAGAGGAAACTAAGGCCCAGAAAGTAACCACCCCTGCCCTCAGGTCACAGTCTTGTTACCGGGCGAGCTGGGCTGGAACCCAGGTGTCCTGACTCTCGTCTTGCATTCTCGCATGCTCTGTTTGTTCTCTTGGGAGACCTTGAGACAAGCCCGGGCCCCACCGGCAGGACGCCTCTGTGAAGGACTGCCCCTTATCCTGTCTCCCTTCCCCAGGACAGAGTCCGTGGCCGAAAAGATGCTGACCAATTGGTTCGCCTTCCTCCTGCACAAGTTCCTAAAGGTGAGAAAGGGAGTGAGATGGGTCCCAGAGTCCAGGGCAGGATGCACTGCTGCTCAGATCCTGGCCACAGGGCTGCATCGGGACCCCCCTCCCTCAGAAGCAGGAACCCACCTGGCCTGGGTGTGCTAAAGTGCCTCCTCCCACTGGCCTGGCTCCGAGAGAGAAGGGGAAAGGGTGCAAGCCCGAGGAGGTGTGCCCACACTTCCTGCCCTGTGTGTGCCCACAGGAGTGTGCAGGGGAACCGCTCTTCATGCTGTACTGTGCCATCAAGCAGCAGATGGAGAAGGGCCCCATTGATGCCATCACGGGCGAGGCCCGCTACTCCCTGAGCGAGGACAAGCTCATCCGACAGCAGATCGAGTACAAGACCCTGGTGAGGAAGCCAGAAGCTCTCGGCCCACATGCGTTTCTTCTACTTCCGCCCCTTACTCCGGGGGGTTGATAAAGAAGATGGGAGGCTGGTCTGGGGTGAGCCCCAAAAGCAACTAAGTGTACCAAGAGCAAGTCAGACAGGCAGGCAGGGCCCTTCTGCCCGGTCCCATCTCATTTGGTAAGCCCTAAAAGCATTCCGTGCCCTGAGTTACCCTAAGTAATATTGGGGGAGAAAAAAGGTCACCCATTATTAGATATCGGGTAATTGGCATTATGGGAAAGATGTACATTGGTTCCTAACATAGAGGCTTTGGGGAAGCGTGAGGCTCAACTCTGATACATCTAGAACCATCTCAAAACACTGAGGGTGCCTCACTCCAGGACTGTAGTCTCCCATAAGCCATCCAGGACCTAGAAAGCAGAGTCCTGGTGCTTTGAGAAAGAAGAGGTGGACACAATGTCTCAGGCTTTCATTTGGCAGATGTTACGAAGGTGAGGAAAACTGAGTCACAGACCAGAAAATTACCCTTATGCCCCCTGTAAGGAGGGTGAACTTTGGAAAAAGAAGATTCTGAGGTCTGACACCCTGCCTCAAAGTACTCCTTCAAGTCCCGTCCTTCTCACCCTCTGTTCCCCACTTGTAGATCCTGAACTGCGTCAACCCCGACAACGAGAACAGTCCAGAGATCCCAGTGAAGGTGTTAAACTGTGACACCATCACACAGGTTAAGGAGAAGATTCTTGATGCTGTGTATAAGAACGTGCCCTATTCCCAGCGGCCAAGGGCGGTGGACATGGACTTGGGTAGGAAGGCTGGACTCTGAATGTGAGGGCAGGGGGTGAGGGGTGAAAGAAGGGAAGCACTGCCCTGCACGTAACCCTTCCAGGAGGCATGAGTGGCCCTGGTCAGGTGAGGCCCACGGGAAATGCTTCCCCCTTCAGGCACTGCCTGTTGAGATGGGGCTGTCTCTGGGGAGGTCCAGGTGTTTCCTCTGCTGCCTGGGCCCATGGAGCCCTCCGTGTCTCTAGGCTCTGTCATTGATACCAACTTGAGGGGGTCAGGTTGCCAGGTCCCTAGAGGAGGCGCAGTCGGGAGACACTGGCTCACAGCCCTCATCCCGCTCACGCTGCTCCCTGCACCACCCCCTCCACCCAGAGTGGCGCCAAGGCCGGATCGCCCGGGTCGTGCTGCAAGATGAGGACATCACCACCAAGATCGAGGGTGACTGGAAGCGGCTCAACACACTGATGCATTACCAGGTGAGAGCGGGTGTCTGTCCCCCTCTTCAACATCCCAGACACACTGATGCATTACCAGGTGAGAGCGGGTGTCTATCCCCCTCTTCACCGTCCCAGACACACTGATGCATTACCAGGTGAGAGCGGGTTCTCTCCCCTTTTCACTGTCCCAGAATGTCCTTTTCCCACTAAGCCTTGCTCTAAGGCCTCAAAAGTCTAAAAAGGATTCTCCTCTCCCTGCTTTCCTCCTACTACTGGAGCTTAGAACAGCCATTCTTAGCCATGGCTGCCCGTTGGAATTACTGAGGGAACTGATAAAAAACATGAATGACCTGACTCTACCCTCAGAAACAGATTTAACGGGTCTAGGGCAAGGCCTAGGGATTTCTATTCTGTGTACCTCTACATCTGAAAAAAAAAAAAAATTGCATATTGCAAAGCCCTCCACATGGACAACTGCCTTAAGGTACATGGCACTGCCTCTCTTTAGCATCTTACTAATGCAGCTTACACTTCTGACTTGCAGTGGAGCAGGGAGTTGGATGGACTTCTCTTCAGGTCTTACCTGCTACCACTTAGTAGCTGGTATCCTTGGGAAAATTACTCAAGCTGTCTTTTCTCTTACCTGTAAAATGGGGCTTCTGGTGATCCCTGCCCCCTGCAGTTGTATGGAACAGATTCAAGATAGAAGGTGAGGTGTTTAGCACACAGGCGGACACATTGAATGAGCAGTAAAAAAAAAAAAAAAAAAAAATCCCAACAAAAGAACACAAGATCAAGGAGATATCTACTCCCGCCTCTTCTCTCTTCCCATGATAACCATTCCCAGCTGGGGGTCTCTGTAAGATTAAGCACAGGTAGACAGGTTGGGATTCAGAAAAAATACTAAAATAGAAACTGGAAATAAGAGACACCAAGGGAAATTAAACCAATCAGAGGAAGTGCCTCAGGCTGCAAGACCCATGGGATCGTCTGATTAATAACATCCCCCCCTGTCCCTGTCTCGGAAAGGAAGATGTGCAGAGGGGCTGGCAGGCTGGGCTCTCAGGCATTGAGCTGCCAACCACCAGGACCTGGAGCTGGCAGGAGCGTCCATAGGCACAGAGAAAGCTGGGGCACTGGGGGATCCCCAAAAATGCTCTTCTCCAGGCTCTATCCCCTCACTCACCTGTACCCCCCTATCCTGACACCCTGCCTGGACCCCTGCCCAGAGGACATGAGTGTGGTGTAGTGGGAAGAGAAAGGGCTTTGGAAACTGTACTTAACCCCTGCTTCCCCACTCATTGGTGGTATGACTTTAATCTCTCTGCACCTTGGTTGGGCTCCTCCTCTGTAAAATGGAGATAATAACCCTGGCTTGTGAAAGTGTGAGGCACCCAGGATGTGGACTTACAGACAAGGTAGCTGTCATCACTCCCTGTAAACTCTACACACATATATCCATGCCCAACCACCGCTACTTCATATGGTGCTTACTGTTTCCTGTAGAACAATGGTAATGAACCAATTAAAGCTGAATAAGAAAGTACAAAAGAAAATAGCATTATGCCTACAAATCATGAGTTTCTAAAGGGCAGGAGTGAGGTCTTTCTGCTTCTATCTCTGATACCCTAATTCTTGTTACTGGGCTTTCCAGCCTATGGCTCCCAATCAGAAGAAAATATTCTGTTCTTATGGTGCTCATGATACAAAGCACTTTCAATTCCCCAATGTCATTTATCATTCATGTATGCATTCATTCCTCAAATATTTACTGAGCTTTTACTGAATGCAAGTCACTTCCCACATGCTAGCCCTGAGTGACAGGGGACAGCAGGGAGTATCCTTCCCTTTGGGAGACTCTGATGATGATGCTCCTAATAGCAACACTAACACCAGCATTCACCTGCTCACTGGATATCACGTGCTCCCTGGATACCAGGCACCACTCTCAGCCTTTCTGTGTTTTAACTTCTTTAATTCTCACCACAAACTACATGCAATTATTATCCCCACTGACCACTAAGGCTCAGGGAGGTTAAGTCCTGTAGCGGATAAGCAGCAGAGTCAAGGTCAGGCCCTGCCAGGCATCTTGACCATGGACTTGCACCACCTGTTGGTGAAGACAGAGAAAACCAAGGATAAGAGAGGTTTAGTGACTAGACCTGCAATTGAGTTGAACTGTGGTCATTTGAGTCACCTTGTGAATCTTTCATTAGGTGACAAGAAACTATAAATGATAATGTAATCTGTTCTCCCTGGGAGTGAAAACTCCTGCCCCTGCCAAGCTTTCTGGGTTCATTTCAGGGCTGTCCGTTGTAAGGAGAATTCCTGAAAGACAGAGGTAGAGACTGCCCCCCTCCCACTCCTGGTGCTGATGGTGCAGACGGCTGACAAGTCCAGGGAGCTACACTAGCTGGGAAGTAATGGAGCCTTGGCACTTTCCAGGCACAGAACCTTGGAGCTTTATACCATCAAGTGCATGCACTGCCCTCTTGTTACCCTCACAGGAGTCGGAGGTCCTTGGAGCCCCTGCAGAAGAAAATCTGCATAATCTTAATTAACAAAGAGATGTTAAAAAAGTTCCCAGGCTTCCTCAGATTTATAGGGAGGGTAAAATTAAACACCACCACTAAAACCTGCTATCAGGGAATCTCGTTAGCACTAATGTTCATTTATAGTTTGACTTCCCCACATTTAATTCTTTTTTGGTGGGAGAGAGGGACTGACAATTTAAGACCCAGAAAGATGGTTTTATGACTGGTGCACCTATAAATCAAACTTATAAAGTTCATAAAAATTGTTAAAATAAAAAATGGTTTAATAGGAATGTTTTATGGCCCATAACATTATTATAGCTGTTTTATTCCCTCTGCGTTAGGGGTTTAATTGGATCGCCACGATTCTGGGGATTCTCTGTTTTTATTGGATGGAGGGTAATCTTAAATCAAAATGGCCCCAAATGTCTTCAATATGGCTCCTCATTTATCAGCCCTCTCCCTGCAGGCTGGGTGCTGAGCTGGGGCGCCCTCATAGAGGACGAGACAAGACACCATCTTTCTCATTCAGTCCCCAAGAGTGGCTGCCCTTTTGGTGAAGCTACTTGAAGTGATCCAGGCATTATAGGACCCAGGCCAGAAAAAAAGCAGAGCCAAAAAGGAAAATGGGCCTCAGACCAGTGTGACTTGAAATAAAATTCCAAGTTAGAATATATAATGAAGAGAAAACATGTGCTCTGGGCCTGACAGACCTGGCTACAAATGTTAGCTCTACCATGTATTAATTATGTGACCTTTAAGAGATTGCTTAGCCTCCCTATGATTCCATTTTTTTTCATCTGTAAAATGGGAATACTTGTGCATAACTCACCAAGTTGATGGGAGGCTGGGGTCTAGCTCAGTGCTGTCCAGTAGAAATATAATGCAAGCCACATGTGTAATTTAAAATTTCTGTATTAGCCACATTAAAAAGATAAAAAGATCAATTAATGTTACATATTTTATTTAATCTAACTGGTCTAAAATGATCACGTTTCAACACGTTATGAGTATAAAAATTATCAATAAGATAGTTTATATGTGTACCCATACTGTCATCGAAATCCAGCATGTAATGTGTATTTATAACACATCTCAATTTAGACACAGCTCCTCTCAGTTGGGATTAACCACATTTCAAATGCTCAATCAACACACATGGCAAGTAGCTATTATATGGGATTGTGCGGCTCTAACCCAATAAAAGCTCAAAAAACAGCACTAATGGTTGTTTCTAGTATTCCTGTACTCCCTGCTCTCTACCCCACACCTGACTTATAACCCTCTGAGAGTATGTGACCATCCAACTTCCCAAGACGCCGACATTCACCATACTGTACCTTTGTACCCTTCTCAGGTATCAGACAGGTCGGTGGTGGCTCTGGTCCCCAAACAGACCTCCTCCTACAACATCCCTGCCTCTGCCAGCATCTCCCGGACATCCATCAGCAGATACGGTGAGAACCAGAAGGGCAGACTGGGCCGCTCAGAGCAGTCTTCTGCCACCTGGCAGGGCCCACTCGCTACCCCTTCTAACAGCAGGCACCATGCACAGGCTCTTGCTAGTTGGTTTCTGTTCCTCCCTAGTCCAGGTATTCCCAGGCAGCCTTGCCCTCAGAGCTGTGGGAGCAGGTGGCAGCACGTGCCCTTTCTTTGATAATCCTACCTGGTGGAGGAATCAGAGTGGCCCAGAACCAGGAAGGTACCTGGATGGGGGTTCATATACCCCAGGTTGCCTGGGGCAGTGCAGTCTATGCCTGTTGACTCAGCTGAATTATTAAGAGTGCCCCTTGCACTCTCAGAAGTGTCCCAGTTTGATCAATAAATTAGTCCGAGGAGTACTGAGGCCCCCAGCGCCCTCTGGGCAATGAGGTGATGGCACCTCCCTGTCCCTTATTTTCTCTGGTTTCATGTATGCGCTAAGCCCTTGGGCTTCCCAGCCAAAGGGCACCAAAGGACTGAACCCAGCAGCACTATGAAGAGCTCAAGAAATTCTATCCCCCAGTCGCCATGCAAGAAGAGACCGCTAACTCCCAAGAGGAGCATTACAACTTGCAGCTCTTTAGTACCCATATTTATATGAAAGCACTGATGAAAATATCCTATTGACTTTTTACCTATTAATTATTCATTGCTGGGAGTGTCAGAGTAGACGGGACTCCCAGATTCCCAAGGGTCCCTCTAATTCACCGAATTTATAAATCCTCTTCTAAAAAAGACTTCAGGTTCTTCTGTCCTCATGCCAACCAAAGATCCCTAAAATGATCTATCATATTTGAGTTCCCAATGGTCCCCTTTCAGCTGAAATGAGTTTATTCTGAGTGAATGTAGCAGGCGGGCAGGGATTCTGGAAGGATCTACAAGCAAGGTGGTGACATCAGTTACTCACAGCCCGCCACCACTCTCCTCTCCTCAGACTCCTCCTTCAGGTACACGGGCAGCCCCGACAGCCTGCGGTCCCGGGCCCCCATGATCACCCCAGACCTGGAGAGTGGGGTCAAGGTGTGGCATCTGGTGAAGAACCATGACCATGGTGACCAGAAGGAGGGTGACCGGGGCAGCAAGATGGTGTCCGAGATTTACCTGACCCGGCTACTGGCCACCAAGGTAACTCCCACTCTGCCCAGGCCAGGGAGTGCTCCTCAGAGGAGCATGTCCTGTCCCTCCACAACACAGGAAGCATGTCTGGAGTGTGTCCTTCAAGGGAGCCCATTCAGACAGTCCAGGTACAGCCGGGCATGGTGGCTCATCCCTATCATCCCAGCGCTTTGGGAAGCCAAGGCAGAAGGAAGGCTTGAGCCCAAGAGTATGGGAGCAGCCTGGGCAACATATCAAGACCCGATCTCCACTAACAGTAGCAACAACATAGCCCAGGTCCCTGGGCAGGGCTTCTGAAAGACCAGGCCACTGCTGTTCTCTACCCTTTGGCAAAAATAGCAAACATCGTAGCTTTCTGCGTACTTCTAGAGACTACTGTTTCACTACAGTGGAGCAACTCTCTCCCTCTGGACCCCTTCAGCTTTAGGAAGACACTGGGGTTGCTTGCTGATATTAGTTGGACAGATAGGCTGGCCTCCACTATTATTGACTTTCTATCCCCTTTCTGGCCACCATGGGAGGGAAAGCACAAAGGCCTGGCTCTGCCGGTAACCCAAGGGGAGGCTTCCCCTTCCCATCCCATCCCATCCCACCCCGGCTACCCCAGAGTGTTGATGGAAGCGAGGCTACGTCTTCTAGCCTTCCTAGCAGATACCAAAGTAAGCCTGTAAGTATGACAATCAAACAGCCCCTATTTTCTAGGCAGGGTAAGATTTAAAATACTCTCCCCCACAGACCCTCCAACAATGCCACTGAAGATGTAATACAGTGGCATCCAACTTAGAGCTCTCATGCTTGCTCCCAGAGTGACCCCTAAGTATTCCACCAGACCCCATGTCTCCATCCTAGCTTTGCCAATATGCTCAGCATTCCAATAAGAGACCAAGAAAGAGATAACAGAAAAGGCTAGAGGTTCCACTGACCTTCAGAGGTGTGCCACGAGCCTGTAAACCGTGGGACCCAGGCCCAGTCTTATTCCTGCCCCAGAGACCCTCCAAAGCCCTGTGGTTCAGCACTCTGCCTGGAGGGTTCTTGAGTGTAGACACTTTGCTCACATTCCACACTACAGATGCCACTTGTCCCAGGCCACTAATATCCTAAGCCTCATCATACCTTCCTATCAGACTCTCCTGGTCCTGCTGTGCTCCTGCCAGGAGGCACCCAGTCCACCAGCTTGTTCCTTGGACACCCTTTCCAGACTGGCTTGAAGGCTGTGCCCCCTCATTCACCCACAGGAAGCCTGGACTCAGGGCACTTCCTGTTTTCCTATCAAAGACCCTGTGCCTACACCCACCTGGCATGGACACAAGCATAAATGTGGAATGTGGCTGCAGGTTGGAGGAGACATTCTTCCCCAGGATCCACACACAGCCCATCCAGTTTCTTCCACCTCCCCAGCTAACCAACAGTACCCTTCCCCACCCCACAACAGTGCCTGCACAGCCTCGTGTCCCAGACAACTTTCCAAGGCAGGATGGGTCCAAGGCATCAGCTGGTATGCTCATATGCTATCTTCCATCACCCCCTCCGTCTCACTCTCCCCCGCCCCTCCTCCAGGGCACCCTGCAGAAGTTCGTGGATGACTTGTTTGAGACCTTGTTCAGCACTGTGCACCGGGGCAGCGCTCTCCCCCTGGCCATCAAGTACATGTTTGATTTCCTGGATGAGCAGGCAGACAGGCACAGCATCCATGACACAGATGTGCGGCACACCTGGAAAAGCAACTGGTACATCCTAGGGGAGCTCAGCGGGAGGTGCAGCCTGGAGAGGCCTGGAGCTGCGAGGGATGGGGACCAGCGGGGGACCAGGAGATGGGAGGGTGGGAGGGTAGCCTATTCTCGGCTGGGGCTGGGTGATCTGAGGCTCCTGGAACAAATAGTGCACATATGCTCTGCAGAGCCCACGTGGTCCCCAGCTGCCTGTGCCAAGTGGGGCCTGCCTGGCTTGAGGCCCAGCACCAGGATGCACCCTTGAGTTCTGGCCTTCCAGGTTGTGACCAGTCGCCCAGGAAGGGCCTCCTCCCCCGACCCTGAGATCTCTGGTTCTCAGGAGAAGGAAGCTGGGGGAACCCACGCAAAGAGCTGCATTTGCAGTCTGCAGCAGAGCTTCACAGCCAGCCATCGTGAGGCATTCTGAGTGGGGCAGTTCTAGGGCACTGCATTAGATTGGGAAGTCCTGAATTAAACTGAGACCACCGGTGAAGCTGTTCAGCACTGGAGAGGGAGATCCCACTGCTGTAGACTTGAGCCCACTGACCGGGAGGATTTCATTGCAAACTTGATCTCTTAACGCCAAGTGATTATCCTGGCGCCATGGCTTTCAGGAAGCAGCAGGGAGAATGTCCTGTGGGCATGTTCTCCTCCTTAAAGTCACCTCCACCACCAGACCAGCATTGGGAGGAGCCCTCAGGCCCCTGGAACGAGACTTCCTCCTCCTGGGTTTTAAACCTGGACCCAAGCTAAGGACTGGCTTTCAGGTCAGACAGGACCCAGCCAAGAGCTGGCATCAAAAGGCTTCCTCTGGGACAGAGCACAGAGAGGGAAGGTCCAGGCATTTGGGTTGGGCAGGCAGCCCATGCAGCTGTCTGGAGTCAGCAGTCTCCTCAGAAAACAGAGCCGACACAGATGGGCCCAGGCTGTTATTTGGGAATCAAAAGTCCTAGCAACCAACAAAACACTTCGGAAAAAGCCAACCCCAGCCCCATCTATTCCTTCCTCCTCCCGGGTCTTGTGGTCGATGAGCCCTCCTTAGTCTGCAGCTTTGATCACAGCGGAGTGAGATGGACAGGCTGGGGGTAGCCCTGGGGTTAAGAGCCCACAGCGCACTTTGCCAGGACAGGCCTTCCATCTGCATTCCCTGGGCAGCGCACGCCTGTCCCCTTCGCTTTGGAGCAGCTCCAGCCTAGTGCTGGGAGAAGGCAATTCAGGGAAAATCAAGAGCAAGTCCGGGGTTATCCCCATCTCTGTGCCTTCTATGTGCTGGTCAGACCGAAGTCATAGAAATGTACTACCCTGGCATCGTGGTGGGGAGAGGGTTTCCTTATCCAGACCTCAACAGCAAATATCCAGGGAAAGATCACCAGAAACTCCCCAAGGCTACCAGAAGAAGGGGAGGGCAGGAGAGATGAGTCAGCCCTCAGCCGCCGCAGCTCCTCCCAGGCTAAAGGAAAGTGAGGGATCCTGTTGGGTTTGGAGGACGGGCAGAAATCATCATGGAAGGACTTGAGGCTGAGTAAAGCAGATCTTTCCCAAGACCTGGCACTACTGAGACATTTGGGAAAGTTTGGGGCCCATGAGAGTCAAGAGAAGATGAAGAAGGGGAGAGAAGAATACACTGGGGAGCTGAGAACATCATCTCAGGCTAGAGGACAAGCCTGCGGCGTTCCACAGAGGAGTCAGAAGAGTTAAAGCCCAGAAGGCAGCTGGAAGAGAAAGCAAAGCTGGAAAAGGAAGTAAAAACAGCAGCTGTTCTGATTTTGAAGGAGAGTAAAGGGGCTTATCTGCTTTAGGCTTAAGGAGCTGAGAAAACTCATTCTCCTCTGGTTATAAATTCCCAAGTTGCAGAAGGAAGTCTCCTAACTACTGATAGGTTCCTCTTGGGGTGGGAAAATCGCTGAGCTACAGTGAGTCATTCCCAGGATGCCAACAATGGCCTCCACTTCTCCCTCTGCCCCTGCCCAGATACAAGAACGCCCTGGGGAGAGTCGTGAAAGAACTTCCCCCAGGGGAGCCCATTCCTCTGCCCAGCAAGGCCAGGCCAACCCTGGGAAGTAGCTTGGGCAGCCGGGCTGGGCGGGGAGCGCAGGTGGGGCCCTTTGTGCCCGCTTTGTGGCTGAGCCTGGGGCTGCTCGCTGCCTTCTTCCGGACAATGGCCATGGGCACTGTGAAGGGACTCCAGGAGCCTGGTGGCTTTGTTTGAAGCCCTGAGAAAATGTAGTGTCCTCTGTACTTGGGCTTGCCTGGGGGCGCAGAGGGCTTTAGAAAAGTCTCCCGGGAGGGAACAGCACGCACCCAGGCCCAGCCCTCGGTTGTTAGAGACCAGGGTCGGTGCCCCCATTAAGGTGCAGCGGTGCCTCTCCATTTCTCGCCGTCAGTAACAGCTTAGGCTAAATTAGCCCTGGCTGGACCCATTTTCGCCCGTTTTACTCCTTTGCCCCTTCATGTAGATGATTTGACATTTTGGGGGGAAGAATATCAGTGGGCGGCGGAAGGGGCGTGGCCCGCATCCATTCTCGAGTCTGCTCTGCCTTTCCCCGCAGCCTCCCTCTGCGCTTCTGGGTGAACGTGATCAAGAACCCCCAGTTCGTGTTTGACATCCACAAGGGCAGCATCACCGATGCCTGTCTCTCTGTGGTGGCCCAGACCTTCATGGACTCTTGTTCAACGTCAGAGCACCGGCTGGGCAAGGACTCCCCCTCCAACAAGCTGCTCTATGCCAAGGACATCCCCAGCTACAAGAGCTGGGTGGAGAGGTCAGTAGCACCCTCAGGACAAGACAGTGCCCCGTCTCCCTGCCCCTTCCCGCTCTGTAAGCCATCACTGAGCAAGGACCCAGACGGTGTCTGTCATCTCTTCAGGACCTCCCGCTTCCCCTCCTTGCCCATGCACCCTGCTGCGGGAGGAAGGGTGGCTTTGTGCCCATGGAAATAAGATGATTATCATCCTAGTTACCACTCATTGAGCCTGTGCTAAGCACTTGGCACTCTGATAAATATTTTGTGTGTATCATCTCATTAAAATGTACAGTAGAGTTGTGAAGGCAGTATTATTATTATTCCCATTTTACCGATGAGGAAACTGAGGTACAGAGAGGCTAAATAGCTTGCCTAGTGTCACACAGCTAACAGGCAGCAGAACTGGGATTTGAACACAAAGAGCCTAGTCAGAGTCTGAGCTTTTAACCACTCGGTTGGGCACCACGACCATGAGCTCTCAGCTAGATGGAATCTACTGAAGAAACTCTGGCCTTTAGCTTCAACCTCAGCTTGAAGCAAAAGGCCAGAGGAAGCCACATCAGAAGAGAAATAGAGAGGTAGGAGCAACTGGGGACATCAGTGCCCTTGAAGGACCTGGACCTGGGGTAGCTATAGGTAAAGGTTTGCTGAGACTGCCATCAAGGCGCCTGTTCTGTCTCTGGCAGATACTATGCAGACATCGCCAAGCTCCCAGCCATCAGCGACCAGGACATGAACGCCTACCTCGCGGAGCAGTCCCGCCTGCATGCCGTGGAGTTCAACATGCTGAGTGCCCTCAATGAGATCTACTCCTACGTCAGCAAGTACAGCGAGGAGGTAAGTCAGGGTCCCAGATGCGACAGAAACTGACAGGCAAAGAGCAGGAAGCCTGACTCAGTCCTTAAATCACAATAGACAGTAATTTAGAAAACACATTTAGGGAGTCAGAAGCCCATGAGCTCAAAAATCATTATCATTCCTTTAAAAGGCAACTCCACTCCTGATTCACTGAGGGCTTTGTATGCTTCATTGTCTTTCACTCATTGTTAACACAATAAATAACACTTTTAATAATTTGTTTTTCAGTTCAACGTATTGTATAATTAATTTCATTCTTTCTTAATGAATCAAACTACTGTCTGCACTCGGCAGATCCTGTCAGTTACATTTCAGATAGACAGGTGGACCCTAACACGAACAGAGGTTGGATAGGACAGCTTTGGAAAACTCACAGGCTTCTTTAGCATTGAACCTGAAAGTAGTCATCATAGTAGCAATAACTAGCACTTGCATAGCACTTCCTATGCCAGGTAATGTTTTAAACGCCATACATAGATACATATGGATATATAGATGTTTGTGCATGTATTCATTCAATTAATCATTTAAATTATTTATGGTTATGTGCATGAAGGCAGAATGGAAAGGTAGACAGAGGGGGAGGGGGGAGGGACTCCGGAAAACGGTGTCCTGAAGTCTTCCTGCCTTTGTTTTTGCTCCTCAGCTCATTGGGGCCCTAGAGCAGGATGAGCAGGCACGGAGACAGCGACTGGCTTATAAGGTGGAGCAGCTCATTAACGCCATGTCCATTGAGAGCTGAGAGGAGAAGCCTCACGTTCCTGGGAAGAGGGACCCATCCAAGCTGTCACTGGGAGTCTCAGATGGAAGGACAAGTGATGGGGATCAGGCCCCAGAGCTTGCTGTCCCCTGAGACCCCATCCTGGGGAGAGGGGAGAGCCCCTCTCCCTACGCCAGCCAAGTTTCGTCACAGCCAGTTCCAGCCTGGAGAGACAGTGGGCGTCATCCATCCACAGTGAGAACTCCGGAGAACCTGGAGCCAAGAGAAGGTGGTTCTTCAAGCCGAGAGGCACGAGCTGGGGACAGTTCTGCCTCTGTGACTGCTGCTTTGCATGAAAACTCATTTGATGTATATTGGGGAAATAATGAGAACTTTATTTAATTTTTTTTAAGAAAAAGGGGAAAAAAAAACAGAAATAAAACAAAAAGCCGCCCTGTTAATCCCGTCCAACTTTTGTTTAATTCTGATTTCTGTCTCCCTTCCTTCTTTTCCCGCATTCCTCCTTCTTCATATAATGCCGATTCCCAAATGCCAGAAAAAGCAAAGAGATGCTGAAAGAAATTGGAGGGAATATGACTGCCTCCTTTTCCTTAAAATTTATATTAAAAAAAAAAAAAAGAGGAAGAGGAGGACCAGAAGAATGAGCACAAGTATGCACCAAACACTTCGCAAAAACAGGCCAGTAAAACCTGGAATTATCCCGGAAGCCAGAGGAGCATGGAACCTTCCAGAACTTTGCACAGATTGCAAAGCCATCAAGCAGCTCACCCTGGCTGACTGGAAATGGAGCTTTACCTACCACACACCTGCATATTCTCATCTTTTGAGAGGAAATGCGTACCTAGATAGTACCAATGCTTTTTGCTACTGTTTTTGTTTTGTTTTATTTAATCCTAGACCTCAACAAATGAGGAGCTGGTCTTTGACACATTTCCTTCCAATTTCCCTAAAGTTACTATGAGCAATGGGGTGAGGTGGGGCTCTCCCAGATCAGACACCTGGCTTCCCTGCAGAGGATGGGCAGCCCTGCCTCATATCAATCCCTGTCATAAACCAGGCACCCTGGGGAAAGGACTTGGAGGTGTGTGGGCCAGGCCTCCATGAGGCTCCATTTGGAAGCTGATTTGGGAATGTGGGTATTTGATTTTGGAGTTCACTCCAATCATCCAGTGGTTACTGGCAATCAAAAAAAAAAAAAAAAATCAGACACTGTTTACAGCAAGCAATACTTGAAGAGCATAAGTTATAGAAGCTGCAGTATTTATTATTATGCTTTCTTTCTTTCATTCTCTCGTGCCTGGAGAGGGGAGACAACCCTTCGCTCGTATATGGAAGCTCCTGACTATCTGGGCCTGCAGCACTTCCTCAGTAGAAATGACTGTAGGGTGCCCATGTTACTACTTTCTGCCTCTCTTTCTGCCTCTCATGGACTTGTGGGTGTGAAGGACAAGTGGATGACTTCTCACTGGACTCCTTTCCTTCTCTGTCTCTTCTGATGACACCTAAAACTATGGATGACCAATTCTTCTGAGTGTAGTTTCCAAACAAAGAGACCAAAGCTCCATGCCCAGATCCAGAGTCCCCATAGAAGCCAGTAGAAGTCATCGAGAGGAAAAGCGCTCTGTTGGTGTCAGGACCTTGGTGGCCAGGATGGCCATCAGAGTGTCCGGGCCTCCCACGTTAGCTTGGATCCAAGCTGCCAGCTCCAACTTCTCTGCAAGCAGCACTGGAGTCGGGGTAGGAGGATAAGTGGAAGCAAAGGGATGGGATGGGAGAAGACAGAAGAGGAACAAGCTGCCCTTCCTCACCTTTCAAAGGGTCAGGAATCCAATTCTAGGCGATGATGCTGGGAAGCTGGATCAGCTCCTTCAAGAGAGACTGGACCAGGATCATTTTCTCTGTTATTAACTCTGGGCTCCAGCGTCTTTGTGCCCTGCTTTACCTCCAAGTGGTTCCAATTTCCTGCTGACCACATGTGATTCCCAGGAGAGGGCTGGGGGAGGGGAGCACAGAGGGCGGGCTTCCATCCTTGGCGTGTAGCTTTGGATCACTGTCTAACCACACAGCAGACGTTGCCTGGTCCCCTCAGCTCCAGTTTCTTGCCTGAATGCAGCTGACAAATGGGAAGAGAAAAGCATTCAACAAAATACTCAGGAAACTTGCTGTTTTCATTGTAATTCACAACCAGCCATGCCAAGGCCACTTTCTTTTGATAATCCACTTCTGTTAAAGTTTCTTGGGCCCTATTAATAGCCTGAAGGAAATGCTAATGACTGGCCTTCCGCATTAAGCCAAAGTGTTTGCTCTTCATAGCACCCAAAGCTTATCCGCGCAGAGCCCATAATTTATGGAGATGAAAGGAGAGGAGATACGGGCAAGAAGCGTGTGAGCAGGAGACTCTATGCTACCCATAACAAAGTCCAGCCCACCCCGTCTCACTTCGGAGCTCTGCTTGAGTGAAGATTTTTCTGGCCACACTGCTGCTCAGACTGGCATCCAGACTTTGCTCCACCAAGAAGTCAAAGGCAGTCGGACACCTGAGCAGCATCTCCACCAGCCCTTAACTCGATGCATTTACCTGGCATCTCCTAGCAGTTACTTTAGGTGACCATTCACTGCCCTGGGGCGTTTCCTTGAAGGTTTGTGGAGAGCGTGGAGAATAATGGTGCAGTGGCCAGTTGGAGGGTGGAGAGGGAAGAGCCGGAATTGGCTGTGAGTGGTTTGGCCACATGTCTCAGGATTCCATGAGAGAGTTGAGGAACTTGGGCTGGCAAAGGAAGTGGCCCAGTGCATCCTTAAGGAAGGAACTATAAAAAGGGAAAAAGTTGGACTCAAGCCATGCCACGAGGGGGAAAGGTTGTAAGGCCCCATCCCCTTTCCAGCTGCCCACCTGTTCCTCTTCCACATCTCCTGGCTTTGGGCCACCAAGAGCCAGTGGAGTCCACACCCTTTGGAATGATAAAAAGAGAAAGTTGGTTGACCTTTCTTTTCCCTGTTATCCAATTTGCGGATATTTTGACCTTGGGTAAGGATGAAGTGTTAAAGCCACAGCTCCTCTCCATAAGAAGCCATTCATCCTGGAGGAGGCAGAGAGGCAAGTCTCTCTCCAAAGTCTATCTAGCTTTGCTTTGTTTCATTGATCTGCGCAATGCTCTGGAAAAGGAAAAGGACCCCAGAAGGGTGCTGAGCCAGACAGAGGATGCTAATGGGCAAGAAGGAGAGCACTCCCTCCGGCAGACCCCTGCTGCTGTCTCCCGTCCTCTGCATGGGGTCAGGTGCTTCTGTGCTTGCCATCCTACCTCCCTCACAGCCCGGCTCTCTAAACCATTTGGATTGCTCATGGGTGGAGAGCTCCCCTCTTTACAGAGTTCGGTCATGAAAAGCACGAATCAGCTGTTAATCTCACTGAAGGAGGGAACTGTTTCCTGCATTCATTCATCGGGGAACCTTCTTGAGTAGCCACTCTCTGTCAGGCACTGCTCTAGAGACGGGAAAACAGCACAGAAGAAGACCAAGGTCTTTCTTCCAGTGAATTTATGTTCTTCAGGAAGCTGTTTCCTGCCACCAACCTAGCAGGCAACAGTTCTTCTCCCCTAAGGGCACAGGGTACCAGATTTGTAGGAAAAGGAGTCCAGCAAAGGGAGAAAGCAGACCAACCCAGCTGCCTTACCTTATTCTGGGGCCATTCTCCCAGCGAGGAGAGCTGCTCTTGTTTCTACTGCCACCATCTCTTCTGGCGGCACTTCACCTGCTGCTTGAGCTCCTGACCTTCCTTCAATTCCACCAAATGAGGACAGGAAATAGCAGTCAAGACCCCTGGCCCTGCTGAGCATGAAACAGAAACAATGGATGGGTGTGTTGGACCAAAAAAAAATGGCCTGGGCAGAACAAATAGAAAATGTTTGAAAGCCTGTGGCTGATAAATCTCCAGCTGCATCCCGGTCACCACACCTGCCCCCATTAACCTGCTGCTGCTAGATGCTGAGCGAGCAGCTGCTCTGGGGGAGGCTGTTTTTTCCCAGCCACATTGTGTCTTGCATGAGACTCCTGGGGCCTGGGCACAGACAGAAAATAATCGAGACTCAGGAGGCTGGATGGGTGAGAAAATGCAAAGTGGCTTAGTAGACACAGGGCTGTGGGAGCAGATCCCATGGGGAACTACGGAGATGAACTTCAGGGCCTTCCGACGCCCTGTCTCAGGAACATGCTTTGAGAAAAATGGTAGCATGCTTTCCATAACTCAGTGTCTCTTCCATAGTCTCCCTGAAGTGTGATGTCTTAGTATCTGGAGCTCAGTGATCCCCAGGAATGAAGGATAAAGTCTCACTCTTGGTATTTTTTAACTAGTCCTAAGGAAAGTCCTGAGACATGACCACGGCCACTGCTCATCAGATAGGGCGTCTGCCCAATAAGCAAAACGGAGATCCCTCAGCCTCTCGTGGACACCCACGTCTCATTCTCACGGAGGAGTTCTGCCTTCAGCCTGAGCTGTCTTCTTTCTGCTGCAGCGCAGCCTGCTCCCTCCTGCCCTGGCCTCAAGGCAAGAGAAACGTCTTCTGCATTTCAAAGTCCTCACTTTGACTTACTTGGCCTTGGTCTTGGCTTGGAGGGTGGCAGGCAGAATGGAAATGGTCCCCCCAAACAGAGCAGATGTTTTTGCGTGTGTAAGGGAAGAGGGACAAGCTCTCTATACTGTGAGACTAGGGGCCGGAGCCCACCTGTCTTTTCCCACAACTTCTCCCGCTCAAACCCACGCCTCTTGACACACTGGAATCTGTATTATATATATTTTTAAGAAAATACAATGATGGTTGTCTGGTTTTGTTGTTTTTACAGGTGCTGTGGAATAAAAACTGTAAGAAAATTAAGTATTTAAAATGTTCCAATAAAATGGGTTTTTTTGTTATTCTAATATATTATTGTGTACCTATTGTAAATATGAAACACTCCTATTTTGCAAGCTGAGGACACAATTTGTACTGTTGTTATATATAAATAAAGTTTACTGAAATAAAAAAAAATACTTAAACCTTCAAATAAACCTGATTGTTCAGCAGCATATATGCAGAATAACATTTCAGGGGCACATTTATAAGAAGGGGACTCACGGAAAGATGAGCTCAGTTGTTCTGAGGGACTTTTAGAATTCTCTGGAGCCAGAGTTTATTAATGTACCAGTCATCATCATCACCATAACACACACACACACGCGCGCGCGCGCGCACACACACGCGTGCGCACACACAGGCGTGCACACGCACACACACACACCCCGAGATGCTCCGGCTTATACCAGAAAGTGAACACTGCCCCCTAGCCGCAAGACCCCAGAATACAGCTTTCCTCCTACTGGAAGCACCTCGTACACTCTACGGGTTAGGACCCCTTCCCAGGAGTGAAGCGAGGTCTCAGAAGAGTGAGAGCCTCCTCTGCCTCCATTAAGACATGTTCTTTGTGTGTTTGTACATTCATGTGTGCAAAGTGCATTCACGTGTTTGTACAAAACACATGTATTAAGCACGGCCTGGCACTGTGTGGTGTGTGCGGGGGATAACATAGTAAATGAGGAAGATATGTTCGTTGGTCCTTCTAGTGTAGTGAAAATCAGAAGATTTCTGAAAAAGAAATGTTTCACCACACATTGAGAAGGGGTTTTACAGTTGCTTTTTTTTTTTTTTTTTTTTTTCCATTTTCAGTTAAAGGAGCAAAGGTAATTAAAGGGAAAGATACCAGATAGTGTGTGCTTTAAGGTCCAGTGCAAGTAAGACAAGAAGAGGGGCCTTGCCTAGGGGAGAACAGTAGCTGGGTTGACATAGTCCAGAGGCCGCAGAAACATCACAATTCCGCAGTAAGGCTGAGAGGTAGGGAACCGATCTCAGGACTCCTAGCCCTTAAGGGTCTCTTAACCCAAGGTCGTGCCTCCTCTCTGTCCCTGTACTTTCACCTTTCTGTCATACGTTCCGGTTACTCTAAAGTGTGTGGGTCACACTTCTGCTCTCTGGCAAGAGAAATAGATGAGAATAACTCAAGAATCCATCCAAAATCTCAATGAGCATGGAAGCAAACCACTGTTCACTGTTTCCATGATAATGGAGCCAGGAGAGTTCTGGGTCTTCAACCTTATACCCAACACTAAGAGTAGAGCCTTCTGAAGGATAAGGTGCAGCCCCTGCCCTCAGAGTGCCTCCAGTCTAGTATGAACACCCAACACACACGAGACAATGGGGCCTGGGACTTGTAAATCAAAGCATGTAAACGAGTGCATGTCGGTAAACATAGTGTGTGCTTACTGCTTCAAAGAGATCATAATTGGGCAGATTTTTAGTCCCTACTTAGCAGCCTCTCAGTTCACAGTGTTTGTGTGTCCCCCATCCACACCACACACACGTACACACACACACCCTTCCCCTTCCCAGAGAGTGGAGTGGAGTAATGCAAAAAGTGATCCCAAGGGTGAGAAAAATGCAAAGATAACACCATAAGGAGTCAGGCGGAGAGAAGACGCAGTGCTGAGGCCTACCCAGAATTAGTGTGTTGTTTTTAACAACACAGTGGACTGCAGGCCTGGGGAGTGCACCAGAACTTTTTACTAACTTTAAACAATCCTCCTCTTCTTTATGAACGGCAAACCTAGAACCCTGGAGGCACTGTATTGCCTAGCAGTGAGAAAGGCGTCTTTTCTCACTAAAAGCAACAATATGGCCCCGGTGAGCTCCAATGTGGCACAGAGAAGTTAGATGAGTCTTGCCTCTGTCACTGCTTGACTGGGCTCCTGGCTTCACACCAGGCTGGGATGCAGGGAAATTTGGGCAGGGGAGGACGTTTCTCTGTACAGGATCCGTACACACCTGAGTCTTCCCCAGACTTCTTGTGGCTCCCCTCCCACTACCACCATCCATCCCCTCAACAACTTGGACTTAGGGTATCCCTACTATTAAATACCTGCTGCAGAACTACCATCCTCCAGCAAGGAAGCAAAGGAAGAGGACAGAAGCTACCAGGTGGCCTGTCTTGTTCACTACCATACCCACAGAACAGAGCACAGACCTGGCCCACAACAGATACCCTGTAAGTATGTTCCGAATGAACAGATGATTGAACAAATGGAACTTGGGAACCGCCCACCAGATGCCAGGCTCTGGAACATTTTCCCCTTTAGGCTTCTCATTCTCATAAGAGTTTTCCATTTTCTTAGTCCAAGATTTGGAGAGGTTAAGGGATTTACTTAAGACCGCACAGTTACAAAGTGGGAGAGCCACAGAGGTCTGATTCCAGACTGCACATTGCACAGGCTCTTGTCCCTGCACAATACCACGTTTCCTTAGCTCTAGAACCATTGAATACTTGGAAGTCCACCCCAGAAATGGGTCCTTCCTCTTGTAACCAGCAGATCCTAAGGAGACACTCTTCCTCATTCACATATAGTCATATTTGTTCAATGCAATTGATATCTCTTCATCACTTGCTATGAGCATGACACGGGACTAGGTACATTAGGGACACAAAAAGGGGGAAAAAGCTAAGCCCTGAAGCTGCAGCTTTCCCAGGGTTTACAATCTAATGTCAATACCAAATCATTATTCTATAAGAAAAAGACTCATCCCTTTTCTTGGGGGTACTTCTATCTCATTTTTATCACAAATGCAGAATAATTTTGCCATGCTGCTTCAGTAGAACACTCTGGGCTCTTCGATTCGAGGATAAAACCTGCATGATAAGACACTCAAGAGAATTTGGGGAAATGGGTGATGCTGATTATCTGTGCTTGGTGTGTTGACACCATGAGCTGCCAAATATCTCTGCTCAGCAAGTGAGCTGAGAGACAGAGAAGGCTTCCACCTGTTTTGCGCTGGCTGCTGGAAACTTACAGCCAAATGCGCGGCCCACCAAAGCACATGTACAGAGCTTTCTACTGCGTGCGATTGCAGTCATCTTATTCCTGGCTTTGCTTTTCGTCTC